CTTCTCGGCTGACTGTGTCGCAGCAACTTTTCGCTAGTTCCCTGATCAATGGAATTCCTGCTTAAACAAAGTTTGTACCTTTAGCGGATTGGAGTCCGGCATCTCCGGCATCTAAAGCTGATCTTTTGGCCATGGCGAGAAAATACCCGAAATATGATTATCAAGTAGAGCTTATTAAAGACTCTGTTCTCACTTCTAATTAACTTTGAAAATCCTAACTTTGACTTCCACAGTAAGTCTAATGAAATTTTCTCATCTGTCGTTCCTTCTCACTTTATGTCTTCGAGCCATAAAAAATAAATATTCCCCTTAAATTCCGTATGCACCTCGATGGCTTCAGTTTTGCATCACCCGGAAAATCGCTACGAGTCTATACCTCAGAGAATGCTGAAATCCATTGCTTTCGGCAGACATTTTCGGGAACTTTCTTAATTGGTTTTCTTCTGTCCTTTATGACTCATGGCTATTCCTTCCGCGATATATAAGACGGAAATTTTGAAAGTCCATCAGAGAGATGACTAAAATAAACGCAAAGAGATTTCACGACGATGAAGCGACTGCTTATCCTGTGAACGTCAGCCCATTTTCTATATCGACTAAATAATCCGATTAGCCAGAGTTGTAGACATTAGATATGCCGCAGAGCTTCAGAAGCTAAGATATGATGCGGAGCCATAGCTGCCTATGTACGTTTTATCACGTAATCGTTTTAATGGCAGTATATGGGTTTCCTTGCCTTATCGAGCAGAGTAACCTGTTTCCCTTGCAGGCAAGCCGAGCACTTTTGTGAGTTACACGAAAGTGTGACAAATGGTTCAGCACAGAGGAGCAAAATATTTAAAGCTTCGAACAGGTGACATCATCGAAGATCGATAACAACTTTTGAGAATGATCAAGACGTGAAGAATCAGCAAACGAATCTTATAACAAGATATTTTCCATAAACAGTGAATATGCGGAAGAAGAGCACGAATGGGCGTGGTCCATTTGTAAACTGGAACAAAGTGGGTTTACCGCGGCTGATGTTAAACACCTCAACTTACAGCCAACGATATTAAACATAAGTTTAGAGGTAAAGCTCTACGTGCGGCGACACCATATTTCGAAACAGTACTTGTACATTTCAAGTTGATCTTAGGTTCTACTCGAAGGACACTGAGGCGATGGTCACGACTCATGGCAATGAGTATCGCTAGGCTCAGGCACCTATGAAGTATTGGCTTCTTCCTAAATACAGACGGTGACTTACTGTGAGACTGAGATTGCTCCACTTCAAGAAATGTCAACAACTGAGAAGACAAGACTAAGCAAACTGAGATGACAACGTCACAGGATATGAAGAAACTTCACCACAGTGAGACTAGATCATCTCTGAACGCATCTCTCGCAATAAGTTGTATTTCAAACGATTTTAATGCTCATACCTGAACAGGACACCGATTAATCAACGAGTTATATGCTAATTCAGAGCTGTGAGGCTTCTTTACACTCAGTACATTTTTTTCTCTCGAAGCAATATCATAAGGTTATATTATACTGTCGACGTAAGTCAGACGGTGGAAAGAAAAAGATTTCACATGATTAAGAGTAGTGGCTAGTAGTGGAAGTTCCGCGTTGTCAATTCTCTGAACAAAGGATGTCAATAAATAGTAACTACGATTAAGCGATGCTTACTCAAAGTCACAACAGACGCTCTGGGTCATCGGTTTAGGAAAACTACTTATTCCAAATGAGGATGGTATTTTCTCACTGCGTTATGTAAATTCGCCCTCCTATGAAAGTCCCACGATGGCGAAGCTCTCCATCTCAGAAGTCAACTCGAAGGTAATAAAAAATGCTTCAAGTCTTACTAATTCCATTGCCGTCACAAGCTTAGACCCACCAGCTTTAGAACGCACAACGTTCACCATAACCGGTTGTAACTTTCAGTGTAAAGAAATGGATAACCTGACTGTAAAGGAAATTTCGCCTTGGTCTACGAATAAGCGCATTAAAATATGTGTGAAAGGGGCGGTAAAGACAGCCTTGCACTTAATGCACGCTCTCTTGCTTTCCTACCACACGAAAGTGCGGATTACAGAAGCTGTTCGAGGCAAGGCACCTCAGTGCGCTTTCCACTTTACCATCTCTAACTACTTCACAACCGAAGTAACTCTGAGTTATGCCACCTACCACCTATTGCCCTTTGCACGTCTCTATCTCCTCCCCACTCGCAGTGACGCGTATTCCGGCACGAAGTCCTGCCGTAAATGTACATACCGGAAGGAAAAGCTCTCATATTTACTAAGTGCACAAAAGGCGCAATGGTGTACGAAACAGAATAGCAACAGGACTGCCAATTGGCCTCAATCAAACAAATATAAACAATATATTATATATTATACATTATGCATAAACAGTTTTCAAGCATCGCTGAAAAATAAACGAGCGCCGGTCAGGCATGTGAAATTTGAAGAAGAATGGATGCCAT